ACCTACGCCGCTTGGCGGCGTTTGGTTTCGGGTTTAAACCCTAAACCCTAAACCTAAACCCTAAACTCCTAAACCCTAAACCCTAAACGCCCTAAACCCCTAAACCCTTAAACCCCAAACCCTAAACCCCTAAACCGTGTGCCATTGCTCAGAACAGGCCCGGCCTTGCTCGCGTTGAAGCCATGCGCTTTAGATCCGAGCCCCAAGCACCCGAAGCCCAATGTCCTAAACCGCAAGCCTGACATGAAGGGTTTAGGGTTTGGGGTTTAGGGGTTTAGGGTTTCGGGGTTTCGGGCTTTTAGGGTTTTTCGGTTTGGGGGTTTAGGGTTTAGTCTTGGTTTAGGGTTTCGGGTTACCCTAAACTCCCAAACCTGAGCCCCTAAACCTGAAGCCCTTATTTCCGATCCCCGACTTTCTAGCCCCTCACCCAGAATCCGAGACTCACCCACAGGTAACATTAGGTGACTGGCTACGTGATCGTCTGTGATGTGCTGTGTTACAGTAAGGTTCATCTTGCAGACACGCTCTTCGCCAGCTGCGCAGACGAAGCTGGGCTGAAGAAGTACGAAATAAGCAGGTATCCCTACAGCTGATTGAGAAGATCCTGCATTGCCTTGAAACATCCGCATTCTGGTCAAGCGGGATTTGTCCTCAGCAGAGACCCTGAATGCTAAACCCTCTTTTAAAGGCTGTTCAGCATTTCAGTTTTCAGGGATGTCGTCTTCTCCATAGGAGTCTGAATGATTCGACGAAGTGTCCTCTTTTGGACTCGTTTTCATCACATAAAGGTGCCTCCCCCAACATCCTAATTACCAACCCAAACCCCGAGAAGACACTGAACCCAGAACCTGAAACCGAAAACCTCAATGCTACCCATAGGCCCTACAGTAGTTCCTTTTTTGGGGCTCATATATAGACTCCTATAAGGTAACCCCTAAACCCTAAACCCTAAAGCCCCCAAAAAGGAACTACTATGGGCCCTATGCCCTAAACCCTAAACCCTAAACCCTAAAACCCTAAGCCCTAAAACCCTAACCCTAAACCCTAAACCCTAAACCCGAATCCCTTGTTAGGAGACGATCCTCGAGCTGGTCGACAGCCAGATGTTGCGAGACGGAAGCGGCTCGAACGAGAACTGGACCTTCGGGTTCCGGGTCTTGGGGCTTTAGGGTTTAGGG